GCTGCATAAAATGCCTCACCCTCTTTGCTACGCCAACGTGGACAAGTGACCCATTTCGTATCCTCGAGAGGTCAAGCCATGCACCATTATGCAAAGTCAGGGGGCGCCTGTACCGCAAACAAAAACCAATGAAAAGCTGTCTCGAGGAAATCCAACGGATAGGAGCTTCAGCGTCGTGAAGTAGGGATGCAAAGCCAGCCCTAAACCCTAAACCCCAACAACTTAACCTTTGGTAGGTTTGAGGTGTGACCGGCAATCCTTTGTCTAGATGCCGGGGGAAGAACCCCAAACCCTTATGAAAAGGAGGCGTTCAGATACGATGTGTTCTTCTAAGCCACCTCCTGGGCATTGAGTTTTGTGGTCACCTTTACCAGGGCTCAACATGAGCTATAGCTTGAACTCCTTACAGGGGGATTATATGGGGGACTATATAGGGAACTACTATAGGGGTTATTAATTGGGATGCTACTATAGCTCACATGGGAGTGCAAGACTTGGAGTTCAGGGGTTAGGGTCATCCTTTGTAATCCCAAATATAGGGGACCCTCAATTTTTGGAAACCCTACAGCTTAGTTAATCCCTAAACCCTGTATATCCCTAGCCTATATCCCCTTCAAAGGGATGCGCCAATCTTCAGAAACCTCATACACTGTTCTTGCCCCTGGCTAGGACTTACAGAGGGTATGCCCAAGCACTCGGCATTGTACAAACCTCAAACCCTGCATTATGAAGAATAACCCAGAACCTCCAACTTCTTCATTCTCTAAGTTGCAGCCCTGAACTCTATAGTCCCCTTTAAGTAGATAGAATATGGGGTATATGGGGATATTCTATCTACGGGGGGACTATAAGCGTAAGCCTCCCAAATCGGAAGCTGACAGGCCCGCGCTGTGTTCGAGCAGCACACCGCCATCCCGAATTGGTTCATGCAGCAGCCTCTTGTCTGCAATAGTAGTGTGTCTCAGAATTATGAACTTCTCTTTGATGAGGGTTGTGTGAGGTTCAAAAAGGGCTCAAACCGGCTGGTAAGGAGCATGAAATGTTCAGGCTGTCTTACAATCACGGATTCCTGGAGCATGTAGGATTCTGTAGAGCTTAATTGAGGGTGTACACTGCAACGATTGATCAAAATCAGGGTTCCTTTTTTTGGGGTCCTTGCAATAGTAATTGAATTTATCTAGAATTGGCAAAGGACCGCAGCATTTTACCGGAAGTGGCAAGGGTTACACAGAGCTGCAAAGCATAGGAACTCAAGAGATTATAGGAAGATCCCGTGTGCAAGTGCAGCCAGTATGGTCAAATCATTCAGATTGTGGAAGCAAGAAGAGTTCGCACTCCCCTCCCAAAATAATACAAACCCCCACTAACCTAATGATGAATATGGAAAATTCATAAATTTGTAACATAAAAAGATTTTGGGAGCATGTATTACGAGAGTTGTTGCTGCGGGCCCAGGGAATGCATACGGTATGTCTGTTGATCGGGAACTATCTCACGTGTTGATGATGTTGCAGAGTCCCAGAAGCATTCAACGACAACTGTGTAATCAACAAAAACAGTTTGGAGGTCCAGATGAGGCGTTGCATGTGGGGCGTGGGATGTAGTCGGTGCCGCGAAAAAGGAGATATCAACACTTATCGCATACTATAGACCCTTGGCGATCCCTTGTATTCCCGGGATACCCACAAGCCTCCCATGTTGGGAAACTCCCAAATACACCATGCGGTACTTTTTGGTGCACCCCTCTCTTGCGCAAGGTGAGGCAGTCGCCCTCACAAGGACCACAAAGGCCGGGCAGGTTCCACAAGTAGGCTTTGTGAGAAGTAGGGTTTGCGGCTGCCATCGAGTGGTTTGATGGGACCCTAAACCCCAAACTGTATGAGGCCGTGAGGTGGAGACTTTAGCGTCTAGGGCCGTTCAAGGACTGCAGCTGAAGTCTGCGAATGCTGGGTTTGGCAATTGCCGGGATCAGGCAAAACATGCGATTTCCGAGCACCTACTGTTACTGACCTCCGTGGGCCCATGCGACGTGCAGCATAGCATGTTTCTCTCCAACGCGGTGAACTAGGTCATTGCAGATTGGTCATAGAAGTACCATCAAGTGGCAACAAGAGAAGATTCCTAGTTTCCATTTTCTTTTCCATTATCCCAATATATCCCGAATATATACCCTACTATTGTAGTTTCCATTTTATTTTCCATTATTCCAATAAAGCTTAGTAACAAGTGTGAGCTCGCAGAGTGATCTGCTTGTTCTTGGCCAGGCATTCCGCGTCGACAGTCTTTGCGAAGACCAAAATCTTTCTCTAGAGAGCCGATAGCTAGCAAACCTGCCCTCGAAAGTCTGTAGCCTGAGCAGAACGGAATGCCCATTTCTTGGGCTTTTCTCCTCTTTGTCAGACTTCGAGGGCCGGTAATGGTACTTGGTTGACGTTTGCCTGATGGGTGGACTTCACGGAGAATCTCGTGAGCATGAGCCTTCTTTGCCATCGCTGTTGCTTGTACAGCATTGGGGTCCATCCAGTAATTCGAATCTTTGGGGGTCAGTAGCCATTGTACAGTTTCTGTAGGGGTCTTTCGCCTTTGAACGCCCACAGCCGCCTCAGCTCCCTGGCTTGTTGTCAGAAGATTTTAGGGTTTAGGGTTTAGGGTTTAAAGTTTAGGGTTTAGGGTCTCTTTTAGCTTAGTTTTCAAGGCCTACGCCGCACGTTGAAACGTTGAAGCACGTTGAAACCCTCAGGCCCCCGAACTCAAAACCCTAAGCCTTGAAGTCCTTCAAGGGGTTATATAGGGGATTCTATATGGAAGTATTTTAGGGCTTGCTGAGGGGGGTTCAAGGAGTTAAGACTACAGCCCAAATGCAGCAAGCCCTAGACTTCGACCCTAAAGGCGTTTAAGGTATAGGGTTTGGGAAAAAGGGTGACCCAGAACCCTAAACTCCAAGCCCTGAGCTCCTACACAAAGCCCTACAGCCAGATCCTCAACCCCCAGCCCCATGCGGGAAACCAACCCTAGACTCAAAAATCCTGAGTCCTAAACCCTACATACCCATATTATGGTAACTTAGTTTAAGCTCCTTAACAGCAACCCAGTATTGTAGTAGTACCCTTAACCCTAAACCTTCAACACCTAAACCCCTAAACCCTAGACCCTAAACCCTAAACCCACAGACCCTAAACCCCAAACCCCCTAAACCTTCAACCCTGAACCCTAACAGAAACGAACCGTAGACGCCTAAACGCCTAAACCCTACACCCCCAAGCCCAGGTTCTCTGATGACATCTCACCGCGGTGATGCGTTCTCACAGCGTCGGACACCAGCTTAGCTTTCTGCGGTGTTCTGAAGCTAAGGGGATAAGGAAAAAGACATGGAAGCTACTATTTAGGGTTCAATTTGGGTTTAGGTCTCTGAAGATCATGTGTGGGGGTTCCAAAAAAGGGGGGGCCCCTTACTGGGAATTGTGTCTTGGGGGGTATATCAAGCAAAACCCCCATTTTGGGAAATGTTGGGTCCCTTATACAGGAACACGTTTATCGGGATTATACAGGGATTCTCTTCCGTTATTCCCTACGAACAGCCGGGAAGCAGTAGTGGCTTAGCGCTTCGGAGGTCTGGGTTCCATGCTCAGGGTATTTCTTGCGGCCGAATACTGGGAGCAAACGAACCCACAGTCCTAGTTTCCATTTCATCTCCCATTTGATTCTCCAATGTTCCTGTCTATCCCTAAACCCTAAAACCCTAAGCCCTCAAACCCTAAACCCTAAAAGCCCAAACCCTAAAAGCCTACACCCTAAACCCTAAGCCCCCCTCCCAGAGCAGGGAGAGCCGGACTTAAACTTCTGCGGCTCTTGGGATTTTTGGAAACTGACGTGAATGCCAGAGCAAGCTTGCTATTGATACTGGGATGCTGTCAAGGAGAATATAGTCCCCTTAAGTAGATAGAATATGGGGTATATGAGGATCTTGTTACAATATACCCGCAGCCACATTTTATCTACTTAACGGGGACTATATGTGTATATAGTTTCATGCGCGCTCTGTGTATATACGGTTTAGGAATTAGGATTTGAGGTACTTGCCATAATATGGGTACACAGTGAATAATAGATCTTATTGTTGTAATTCAGCTTAAGCTTCTCAACAGCAACCCAGGATGTGGATAATGTAGGAGCCCTAGCTAATTACCAATATTCTGGTCCTAGGTTCCTTATGTAGTTCTGGTAGAGGGCCCCTCAACCAGACTTGAAAATAATATTGGCAATTATGTATTCCCAGCTTGATCCGTGAAGAGCTTGAGCACATGGGAAGGGTGATTTCCGAAAACGTAACTCCACAAGTCTGTTAAACAAGCCCAAATCCTATTTGTCGTAGCGGCCACCCCCAGCCTCCCCTGTTCCCAACCAAGAGTGAGTAAGCCCGAGTAAGCCATTCGTTGTTGGTTCTGACTGAGGAGACGGCGCATATTGAGCAAAGCACCGCGGCCTCAAAGGGCAGCGCATGTGTTGCTTGCCTATGGTGCCAACCAGGTCCGGATAGATCATTTCTCCTGCCCCAGGCTCTTAATATACCAAGTTCCAAGCCTAAGCACTCTTGTTGAATGCCTGGGAGCGTGAAGTGGTTGATGCCGGCTGGTCGCATTGTAGGCGTGGGGAGTTGTCGCGCAGAACTCTGAAATCCTGGCAACCGGTTGCGTGCACAAAGTGCAAGCAGCTTATCGATCTAGGAGGCGTGCACAAAAGCTGCTTTGCACCATGGTCATCCAGGGAAGTTGTCAGTACCAGTTGGTTCTTGATGCCAGGCACCATGTATAACTTTAGTTTTCCTTAGTGTGCTAATTTGTTTGGTGTATTAATACCGCTTTTACTGAGAAGGTACTGTAGGGTCGTTCGTATCAACAGTAGTTTGCAACTATTCATTGCCGCTGTTGTAGGACGGGCTGATGTTGGGCGACCCTAGCTCCGCCTGCACGAACCGTCCTTCGGGCTCCCAGTTTCCATAGACCAGATCCACCATGCTGCCCATGCGGACGCTCCTGCAGCTGATTTGGAGGGTTTTTGGTTTCTGGTTTGGTGAGTTTTTCAAGTTTCAGCATCTCCCTGCCATGCTTGTAGATCGCAACGTCAATCTGCCCGATGAGATCTGGGTTCCCTTCGCAAGTGTAAAGCATGTTACGTGGATATGTGGAGATATGGGGGTTCTAAGTTCATGGGAGGTCCCACGCATTACAGGTCTTTTCTTCTGCTATTCTTAGCATATGGCTGGGTCCTACTCTGCTTCTGTTTTGTCATTACCAGGAACCCTTAAACTCCAAGCCCAAATTCATCAACCCCAGACTCTAAGACCCGAAAGCCTTCTGACGCTGAAACGCACCCCACCCCCAGACCAACACGCCTGAAAACGTGTGTAGGAGAAAGCCTAAGTCATAGCCTTATAGTCCCTTAATAGCTAGCTAGCTTTCAAAGAGTGGGGTATATGAGGGATTATGAAGGGGAGTATTCCAGGGCTTATTAAGTGGGATGCTAGGAGCTTAGACCATACCTTATTAGCCCTAGTGTTTCACGACATGCTTGCCCAATCTAAATCCTCAACCCTAAATCTTAAACCCTGAACCCTCAACCCTAAACCTTAAACCCTGAACCCTAAGCCCTAAACCCTAAACCCTGAACCCTAAGCCCTAGAACCTGGTCCCACCGAAGGCTCCTTTTCTTCCTGCCCCTCGGGGTGGTGCAGTCGCAGCTGCAGTGTCTGGCTTGTTGTTGAACAGCATTTTCCGTTTTTTGTTTGGCGAGCAGTAGAGCCCAAAACGGAATAGCGAATGGCAATTCTTGGAAAATTCATGCTTAGTTGCAAGAGGCGAGGAGGTTACGGGGCCTGTTATGCGGAGGGTGATGGCCAAAACCCTGAACCCTAAACCCTGAACTGTAAACGAAAGGATCCATTCCCCCGCTATCACTTAGGCATCAACAAGTAAGACTACCGGCCCGTAGACGCCAGACCAAAACCCACAAATCCTGATGCCAGATTTTGTAAACCCTTCTCAATTCCTTAAACTAAGCCTGCTCCCTAACCCCACATCCTACACCGCGAATTCCAAATCCTAGACCCTAACCCCTGACCCTAAACCCTAAACCCCCTAAATCTTGGTTCCTCAAAATTCTCCAAGGTATGGCAACCGCTCCACACTTGAGAAGCTGGCTAAGGAAGCTGAGGCCTTGAGGTCCAAAAGGGATGATGTAGGATGGTCATGTTAGCCATAGTGTAAACTCCTTATAGGGGGGTTACATAGGGGATTATATATAGGAGTACTATAGGGTTTATTAAGGGGGATACTAGGAGTTTAGACTATGGCTCATGTAGACTTGTGATTGCTAACCCCCCCTTCCCTATAATAAGTGCCTGAATGTTAGGATCCCTACTATAATCCCTATTCAGGGGAGGGGGTTGATTAATTCTGGGTCTACATTATGAGCTTTGGGGTGTATGGGCCTAGGAGTTGAGGCTTTGGGGGTTTGGGGGTTTGCCGGCTTGGGGGGTTTGGGTATTTATAGCCTTTAGAGTTTAGGGCTTTGAGTAAGTAAAGGTTTGGGGCGACAGCTTTAGGGTTTAGAGTTCCGGGTTTGCGGTTTAGAGTTTCCGGTTTAGGGGGTTAGAGTTAAAGGTGGGGACTGCGCCCATGGATGCTGGAGGACTTTTTTTCTGTATGATCTGCTTGAAGCAGACTCACGGGCCTTCCCAGTGATTCAGCAAAACCAGCGTAGATGATGGGAATACTAGACTTAGTAGGCCTAGTTGCTAATACCATTACACTCCGTTATAAGCCCCATAACCCTTGTTACAAGTAGCCTTACTGCGTGAAGAGAGTGGAGAGAAGAGTGCAAGTTAGTTCCTCATGCCTCACTAAGATCTTAGGTCCAGGCAAGGTGCACAGTTTCTGGAATGCTGAGGCTCGAGTACACATACACAGGCCCTGATGGGGTTGAATAGGTTGTAAGGGTATCATAGGGTTCTGTGGGGTTTAGGAATTGGCGGTGTAGGGTTTATCGAAGTTCCGATGCAATGTCTGCAAATTCTCCTTAGTTTCAAGTAAGATAGAGAAGATTTCTGCATTCCTGTGACTCTTCAGAGGCTGACGCTGGACCAGAGGAAGAGGCTCGCGAATTCGGTTGTGTGGGGCTTTGGCTGGGGCGTAGACTGTTGGAGGTTGAGTGGATTTCAGGGTTGCAGAGACAACATGTGAACATCTTTCTAAACACGCCTCCAAATAGAATATCAGCGTTCGTTTTAATGTATTTGGGCGCCCAAGCAGGGCGCAATGTTCTTGAGAAATACCATTTTACAATCTAGGCAATGTCATATAGAGCCTGGCCCAAGCAGTACCCTAAACCCTAGACCCTACAATTCATGCGCTACTGCCCGGATTCTTGTACGATTCTCTGTTTTACTAATGATTGCCACTGCGCTGATCGCAGCTTGCAGTGTTCAACAGTTCTTTGTCCTTGTTGCGTTTGTGGAAAAATGGCAGCTTGTTTTGTTCTTGGCGTGGCTTCACTGATAGATGTGAGCATCGCTAGTGTTGGCTGGCTTCGCAGGTACTGAGTAGTAAGCTTGTGCAGGAGCAAACAGCAACAACAAAGGATTCTTGAAAAAGATTGTTCTACCACCCAGCATCCCAATGAGCAGGAACCAGTGCACTAGAAATGTACGGTCTAAACTCAAGCCGTGACCCTCAACGCCTGAACTCCACTCGCTATGACCGACCATGGTATCAAAACACGCCAAATCTGTGGATGTACAGTGTGCATCTAACAGGGTTCCAAAAGCCTTTCGAAAATCTGGGCAAGGGAGGCATCGGGAACGATGCAAAACAGAGTCTAGGGTCTGAGATTCTCAGTACAAGCTTCTTGGGATTCGAGTTCTGAACCTTAAACCTACATCCGAAGCAATTTGGCGGCGCAGGTCACCGAGGGATTCACGCATCCCACACTCTGCGTGGGGGCCACAGTTGCAGTGTACGTTTGTAGACTTTGAGTCTGCAGCAGTCAGCAACGGCAATCTTGATTCTTTTGGGCAGTTGGCCTTTCTGTTTCTGTGGGAGAGCCACGCAGACATGAACGCCCTTCACCAGTGCATCTCATATGGTTTTGCAACTCTGCTACAACCGTCGCAGTGAGTAGTGTCTTGTACAAAAACAACACACCGTGAACAGCTGCTGCTGCTACTGCTACTGCTACTTCTATTCCTACTACGACTACGACTACTACTACGACGACGACTACTACTACTACTACTACTACTACTAGTAGCCGCCCCCCCCCCCTACGTCCTACACTTTACTTAAAATGGAATATACATTCCCCGAGGAGGCGGCCAGTAACAGTAGTAATGTTAATGTGGCGATTGCTGCCCGGACCTAGCAGGCGTGGGTTAAAGTGGCCATGTCTTAGGGGCGCTACGTGTTAATTTAGTGGAATATTATGTC